GGAAGATGAGAACTGGCGACTTTGTAGTACAACTTTAGTACGCGGAGCAATCTGTGGAGCTGGAAGCTGAGAACTGGTGACTTTGCAGTACAACTTTAGTACGCGGATGAGTCATCTCTCGCGGCTGAGTCATCTCTCGCAGCTGCTCTGGCGCCCCTGCAGCTGAGTCATGTCTCCCGACCACCCGGCTCTCTTAAAAGGTTGACACACACACAGAGACCCACGCACTGCCTCAACTTACTCGGAGACACACACACACAGACAGAGACTCATACACACACAGACATAGATACACACACACAGACCCACACACTGCCTCAACTCACTCGACTTAACACTTCACGAACACTTAACAGATAACTCACACTCTGACTTCCTACGTGATGAAAAATGCTTTCGGGCCACTCGTCGTCTAGTTTCCGATGGCCTTTCTGGATGCTGGACAGAGATGATTCTGCGTCGTCTCCCTCTGGCCTCCATGGCTGAGATTGGGTGCGCTTGGCTTTGTTTTCATTTTTCCCCTTTGTTCCCCATGGCTTTCTTGGACGCTTGCCTGGGATGACTCTGCTTTGCCCTTGGTCTCTCTACTCCCATCCTGTCACAGCATATTACATGGCTTCCTTCCTGTCTATACTGGTGTGCTGCCATGACACAATGATTTCCCCTTGTCTCCCCACTTTGACATCCACGAGAAGACGTATACAAAGGCCTTCTGACATGCAACCTCACTTGCGTTTATGGTAGTACACAGATGCACCTCCGAAAGTGCGCAACGGCGTGCTTGCAAAGGCCAAACTTTGTTTTCACAATTGCATGTCATGTTTCTGCTTGTGTATGCCCTGGATGTTGAATTCAATCACTTGAACAAATCCTGTTTGGGGTCGATGCTGGGGTAATTTCGTGGATGGCACGGGCCTAGCCAACAACCCCACTTTCTCTTTCCCTCTCTTTGTGGACTTGCTGTGGGAGCTGTCTAGACGCTGAATTCGTGGATGGAGAGCCGCGTTGAGGATGGCGGCCTCTTAGGGTTGCAGATGGTTGGTATGGGGATGGCGCCTTGCAGTGTTGGAACTTGTTAGTGAACTTGACCACCCCAGATTCAGTGACGCACATTGGGATGGCACTTTAGGGTTGCAGCTCGTTGTTATTGGGGATGGTGCCTTTCACGGTGGCAGCTTGTTGGTGAACTTAAGACTCATTGACCCACATTGAGGATCCCCTTTCAGGGTTGCAGCTCTTTGAGAACCTGACAATGCCAGACTCAATCGCCCACATTGGGGCGACGCCTCGATTTCAATCGACCAGGAGCCGCTCTGGGAGCGCATCCACAACAAGTCCACCCTGCGGCGGCGCAACGCAAAGCTGCAGGAGGCAGCAAATACATTGGGTTTGTCTTCGATGGGTCGGCCGGGCAGACAAGACAAGGAAAATACACCCTCTGACGCCTAGACTGCTGCAACACATGACATGGCATTTGTTTTGCAGTTTTATGTTGTAATCCAAGTCCTATGTCACCACGTCAAAAAGCAATAAGACATAGAAACCCTTAACAAAGACCTGGGTGGCCAAATGGAAGCAACGCAACTCGCAAGTCACCCTGTCCCACATGACATACAAGGCATGCACTCTGTAGCTAATTGAAGGGTTGAGAAACCAAAAAATCTGTATATTCAAAAATTTTACCTCTTGGAACGATTGTAAAAAAGGATCTCTTGGCTTTCAAGCCCCATGTCATCCGCTGCACAGTGTCGTTGGGTGATGCGCAGCGGTTCTTTGTAGAGCTGTTGGAATTAGGGTTCGATCTGCTGAGAAATGGTTGGAAAGACGGGTGACCTGGTATTTCTGTGCGCATACAGACCAACATTTCGCATCTTACCCATGTTGAACCACTTGGTATACCCCTCCAGCTCCGCCTTGCCAGAGTCCTGGGAAATTTGCAGATTTGACACCTTGCTTTGTGCAAGCCCTATTCCCAGGACGTGGATGCGCTTGCGCGGGCTGTGGGCTACCACCAAGAGGATGAAGAGGAGCACGAGGCTAGCAAGGGTGTGCAAGCGCGCGCCGCACCAGAGTTGAGATTTTGATCCAGATTTTCAACTATATCGCAGGTAAGTGTTACCATCCAAGCAACCCCCATCACCCTGCCAACATTGCTTTATACAGTTCTCCAATAGCATTCTTTTTAGAACCACGCGGCACACGTCCTTTGCCCCTGGTGTTGTGCTCAGAAACCGTACGTAGTTTCGTCGACTCGAACAAACTCCGATCGTCGGCAGGCGCAGGTGGAGTACCTGAAACTAGAGCTTGCAAAAGCAAAGGCAGCTCGACAGGACCCAACACGGGTGGGACAAAGGGTTGGGTTTGCTTTACGAAGGGTAGGTTTGTTTTGAACAGTTGGATATATAGACCTAACCAATATAGACAGCAATATATCATATCTAATTGACAGGCTGTCATATAATGGACAGGCTGTCAAATGCATCGCACGGTGTCCAGTGGCGCAGGACTCCAGCGCGAGCTCGAGCTCTTCTTCGTCCAGCAGCTCCTCCTCCGGGTAGTCGGAGTGAGCAAAAAAGAGCGCTGCGCAAACTTTTTAGGGTTGCAGCTCGTTGGTATGAACTTTTTTGGAGGGCTGTCCAGACATTTGTTTTGTGGATGGAAAGGAATGGAGCCACCCTTTTGTATGGCGCCTTGCAGGTATTGGGGGGCACCTTTCAGGGTTGCAGCTTGTTGGCGAACTTGACCACCCCAGACCCAGTGACCCACATAGACATTTCTTGAGCCTTGGGTTGGCCACTCACACTCCCTCCCACCCACACTCACTCACACCCACCTTCGCTTCATCACCATCATCACCTCTCTGGACCCCAATGCATCTAGATCTCTAGACTTTCTGCTTACAGACCTCACACACACTGTTTGGGGTCTCTTGCCGGGATAATTTTGGCTTGTCTTTTTTTTTCTTCATTTTGTCCTTTCCCTTTGTGCTAGTTGTATCTAGTAGTAAGGTCCTAGGTCTTGGACGTCGGTAGCGCGGGGTGGGTTTCTAGGACTTGGCCACAACGTATTACTACGGTTGCAAAGCCGTGCCGTGTTCTCCAGGATTGCTACAAGTTCTCACGTGGTCAGGCTATCTTTGGCTCTGGCACCCGCTTCCCACCAGTTGAAGTGCAGGGCAGAACAAGGTCACCCGGACAAGTGAACAACTTCTTCATTTTTCCTGGGATGTCCTTTGCAGCTGTGTGGCCTGGCTGTGATTTGAGCGAGACGCTTTGGGCATATGGCACTCTTGGCACAACACAGGCAATGGAAACCTCCTCGTTTGCGCTGGATGTCTGAGGTGTTGTGAGGCCACGAAAATCACCGATCACCTCTTTATGGAAGCAGCGCAAGCTGTGGCCAACTCCTTGGACAAGGCGCAGTGATGTTGGCAGAACAGAGTACAGTATCTTCTTGTACATGCCCGTACATCCTCACTTCATCTCACTTCTCACTACTCATCATTCTCAACTCCAGACACGACATGTGGGTTTGGAATCCTTTTGTTTTCTCTCCCGTTAGGTGGACATCGAGTCAGACTCGGTGCTTCCGAACACCGCACGCATCCGGGATGTCGGGCACAACGTGGCCACGGCTGTGGTGCTTGCAGCCCAAAAGGCCCAAAATGAATGTCTAACTAAACTTCAAAGATTGTTTGGGAACTCCACTACTGGGGGCTTTCATTGCCTCATATTGTTTCCATATTATTCAATATGATTCTCGAGCATTGCTCCAGTTTCTGTAGAAGGTCAGTTGCATCAGTGCCATGGGGATCTGTGGCCCTTTTGCTGCTTGAAAATCGCCGCAGGCAAACCTGGCCCAGAAACCATTGGGCGAGACCTGGGAAGAGGTGGCTGGAGAATTGGCCTCCCTTCGTTGGGATCCGGCCATTGGGCTTATTGAACCAGATAGCATTGCCCCGGAATGCCCCAGAACAGGGATTTGTTTAAACTTTTTGCCCGAAGGCCTGAAGTTGTCACATTGTCATGCAAACACAATCGCGGCCACTCCTGGCAAGCAACCATAACCTACTGCCACCCAGGGCAGTGCCAGCAGCTGCATAGACTGGATAGAGCGATCTTTTTCTTGCAAACCAGTACATCAATTTAGAACAACTTCCACTGGTTGACCTCCGGTAAGCACAAGCAATGCACAAGCAACGCCCCCAAATGCGTTTGGTGTAATTCAATTGGATGCTGATTTTGTAGGATGCTGCGGAGCCTGTCACGTGAGTCCTTCGCACCCAGCTGCTGTTTGGCTTTCGCTCGAGAAATGTTGGGTAGCGATCCAAAGCCATGAAGTGTCCTTCATGACTGTGTAATTCCTGGCAAGCACTGAAGAGCTCAAAAGAATGGACATAAGGAATGATGAGGTCCCCCGGTGACCCCAGATGCAGGTCAGTCCTGCCCTGAACTGAATGGAAGCCGTGGAAGCCAGGGGGTCGATACGGTCGGGCGGAGAGGGCGGTCATGGGTGGTCGTTGCAACCAAGGCAGGGCAATCTCCAATAATTCAGGATGATTCCGCAGCCCCTGCTTGTGCGGTGTGCTCTTTCGTCTGAGCGACTGCAAGCACGGCTGCGAAGCAAGTTTGCAGTACAGTTGGTACTTCGACTTGAAATGACTGTCCCGAAGGCCAAGGAATGGAATAAGAGGGGGAGCTAAAAGCCTGGGTTCCTCACACAGCACAGGAATGTTTAAAGTCAGAGAAGAAGAATTTATGGTTTCGCGGCTTGGGAGCTGAGACAGAGCCAAATTTGGTAAGCCAGGGTATGAGGGAGACTCCAGAGGCGCTTTGGGACTGCTAGTTTTGGAACCTTGCCAACCGCTTGGCATGGTTTGAGCACCCATTTGAGGGCCATGCAGAGCGGCACCAGATTCGTGGTCAGTTCGTCTTTTGCGGGGCCTTTCCCTTGATGCTCCTGAAATATGATGAAATACAAGTAGTTTCAGCGAGGCTCACCCAGGCCAGCAACTGGGCCACTGGCCGTTACATGCTGTTACACTGTAGGAATGAGCTGCTTTTGAACGCCTTCAATTCTGAACATATTGCCTTAGCATTTTCGTTGGGGCCATGCTTACAATGCCAACCAGAACAATCTCTGATTCTCCAACCATTTCTGGTGCCGCCCCCCCTGGTTGCACTGCGCTGGAATTGCTGAAAGCACAGGGGCATGACTCTAGGACTCTAGCTTTCTCTAGCTTGCTCCCGAGATGGGAGGATCTAAGAAGATTGCATCGGATCGGTGGAGACTTCACCAAGTGAAGCTGGATTCTTCGGGCGAAGATGGGGCTTGGTGGAGACATTCGCCGTCCTCAGATACATCCGTTCATGCCTTGTGTAGTGGTCACACTCCCGAGCTGACCACAACAGCCCAAAGACAGGGCTTCAACCGGTGGATTGGCCTCCCTTCAATGAAGGGGCAGTATCCGGTCGCTGGATGCACAGGTTGTGGTCAGTGTAGGATGAGCGTGTGGAAGGTGGCGGAGAAATTGACAAGTCATGACAGTTGCAGCCGCATGAGACTCAATAGTAAACTGTTTTAATATGTTTTGATAACAGTTGTTCGAAAACAAAAGCTTTCGAGATTCTCAAGTCATCAACAAATCGGAAAATCCCTTCCAAGCTTGGGCCTTAGCCGGGGTTGGGTCACGGGACTTCCTAGGCCTCATCCTGCCAACATTGACCGGGACCGCACGGAGGATGCGCCAGAACCTGAATGAATCTGGCAGACGCTGGAGAGCCAAGTGAAGAATGAACAGCTTTAGTTTAGGCTTTGTGCGTGCAGGTTGAAGCACTTGGAAAGTGGCTGGTGGAGGCCGCCTGTGGAAGCATTTCTTGACATTTCGGATGCCCGCCGTGACTCCTGCAGTGCGAGGCTGCGGATCCAAGCATCCCGAGTGCTGATACAAGCAGTCAAGAACGGGAGCCGCTGACTTAGCTTTGTGTTCATTGTGCTTTGTAAGGGGGTGCCGTTCGTCATATATAGCTCCGCATAGAGAGATTCTGGAAGCCGCCACAATGACTGACTTGCCACCAGCTTGGCTGCCCCACTGAGGTTATGAAGCCGGCATAGGTGTGTGGGTCTCAATTCCTCGATTGAGGATTGTTTATGGGTTTTTAATCTACGTATATATCATATATCCAATTGTGAAGAGCCATGTTTGCGATGTGAATCTGCAGAGATTGTTGCCGGTGGTTTTTGTCAAGACTCGTCCCTGCCGTGCTTGACTTGGTGCAATGTCTACAGTATTTTTGCGGCTGGGCTCGCCAGGCTTAGTACCGTAGGAAAGATTGTCATGTGCTGGAGGTAGGGTTGGTTGCGGTCTTTGGGCCTTCAAGTCCAGCGGAGTTGGTGTGACATCATATGTCATGAATGCATCATACATAATCTAAAGACCTATAAAACCATAATCATATAAAACCTAAACCGATCCACCCACGAATCTTCCACGCTGCCACGCCATGGAGGGATCCCTTTTGGAGGCTGTCCGCAGTAGCGACTCGCAGGAGCTGACTCTGCTTCCAAGTGATTTGTCAAGGCTTTCTGACGTTTATGGATTTCAAACACAGCACAAAAGCCTCACAAGCAAGGTGTGCTGCATAATTAAAGGTCTTTATGCTAGAAACAGCATGATAAAGTCTTCTTTTCTGGCCAGATTGCCCTTTTCTGGACAACTGACAGAGCCACAAAGTTGTTGATGATATTCTCATGTCAAAGCGAGGGATTCGGCCACCCTCGCTCATACGGACAGTCCGATTCGGACTGCAAGGAAATCCGGGACCGTCCTGCCTCAATCTTACTGTGAGGCATTTATTTGACTCTGACAGCTCTTCATTTTTCATCTTTCGAGGAATCCGTCAGTGGAATAACGAGGCCTAAAGAATCCCGGAGAAGAGCATCTAGATTTATCCATCCTAAACACACATACTGTAGTAGAGACCCTTGGATCTTCCAACAGCTGGGTGTCAATCGCAGGAGGTGGCCCGACTGCTGTCTGCCGGTGTGAGCCCCAACGTGCCAGACGAGCTGGGCGAGACACCGATCTTCGAGGCCAACTGTTGGGCGTTTGGCTAGCAGCATTTTGTGTGGAAATCCGTTGGTGAACATGGGTGAGTTGTGCTGCCCTGGAGAGTTTGGTGCCAACCTGGCCGTCAGGAGACGAGGTGTACAGATGACCACCTTTGGCGTGAAATTGTTGCCTTTTTTCTATGGCCTTGTGGCCAATTCTTGAAGTTAGAGTGGGGGCCACTAGGGGAAGCATAAGCCTTTGGAGCTACCTTCCCTACAGTGTGACCAATGTTGGTCTCACGAGCGGTGGGTCAAAACATGCTTAGACCATTTCAATTTGGTGGAAGCACGGACATTGAGTGTGAGCCTTTGTTGCATCAATACATGCCACACACGCATGCCAGGCAACTGCGGTGGACCATGTCGAGATCGTGGCGCTGCTTTTGCTTGCCAGGGCCGATCCCCAACACCAATCCTTGCAGGGCATGGTTGCACGGCAGATGGCACTGGAAGCAACGGCCTCGCTCTTGGATTTGTCCCTTGGAGATCCTTGAAAAGTGTGGGAATCACCAGCCTCAAGCATGCGGGCACCAACCATAATATATATATATATAATTGATTTATAATTACCTCAAGTCACCTTCGTTCTTGAGGATGTGGAACCAACGGGCATTTATGTTTCCCCAGTTTGAGGTGTTCCATCCGGGGCTTCCAAGTCTTGATTTGATTTGCTATGTATTGGTATTCTGATTCTTGATTTTTGCCTTACTTGTAGTTACAGCATACGTTTCCCTTTTTATCAATCAGTCGTGTTTTGGCATCGTCCCTGTCCCAGATTGATTGACGTGATTGGGCTGCCCAGGTTTTCAGGGAAGACCACAGAGACCGAGGAGGCTGTGGCACGATTACCAAGACCGTTGCAGCTCGAAGTGGCGAAGCACTTTGCAAAGCCATCAGAGCAAGCAGACCACGCAGAACCAGTACAACAGCCAGAGCCAAAAGAGTTCGAGGCGACACAGGAGCATGCTCAGTATGATTTTGCTGAGGAGCCCAGAACCACAGGTGCTGAAGAAGGAAGGAGTCTGAGGAGGCATGAGATTTCTGAGACCAGCGAGCCCAAAAGGCAAGATCCCGCTGCTGATGAACCAAAGGAGCCAAGAAGTTCAGAGGTTGATGAAGCCAATGAGCGGAGGCACAATCTTGAAGCTGATAAACCAGCGCGCTCAGCAGCTGAGGCGACAAGGCATCAGCACGATGCTGAGCCCAAGATGAATGCTCAGAACCAAGACCGAGCTTCTGAGCACAAGGACCTCAAGGACCGAGCTCACGAGCACTTCAACATGGCCAATGACACGGCACATGCTCATGCCGCAGACGAACAGATCTCCCAACATCCAGATACTTCTGCATTGCCCAAGGCAGTCGAGGAACATTGTTGGGACATATTTGAAAAAGCTGGTGGGTGTTGTTAACAAGGGTCGACGCTTGTCGTTCTGGTCCTAGTTGGAACGAACGGCGGGCATAGAGAGAGAGAGAGAGAGACAGAGAGAGAGAAAAAAGATGAAAAAAACATGTACCTTCTTACCTTGTGGTGGCAACCTGGGAGGAGCAGAGAGACTTTGTCGCAGATTCTTCCGAAGGTGGCGCAGGAGCAGCCCCAGGCAGCACCTTGGCCCACTTCGAGTGAAAGCAATTCAGCATGACATCTTCTCATTTTCCTGTTCAATCCAGAGTTTCAGAGTTTCATAGATTTTAAGCTGAGTCCAGTAACGCATGAGAATCCAATGAATCATGATGAATCCACTTGGAAGGCCTGACCAACGGTTGCGTGCGCTGCCTGTGTTTCTCCTGTTGCGTGACTCTGTTTTGAGGCGGTTGTATCCACGTGGTGCTCCATTCACCTCTGGTGGCACTGCGACGTGAGCCCTGCATGCGCAGCACGGTGCTACGTCATGCGAGGCCTGGAGATCGTGTGGCGCTGGCGGACTGGGACGCCACCGGCCAATGGCGCCGTGTGGCTGGAGAGGATGGCTGGATGCCGGTGAAGCATCCGTCCCTCGGATGGCTGGTGAAAGCGGAAGCTGAGGATCACTTCGTCCGAGGCTCTTGGAGCTCCATGAGCTCTTTGTGTGAAGATGTTGAGCCGAAAAAGATCACAGTGCAGGAAGCTTGGCGACAGCTCTATGAGGGTGGAATTTTAAACATCCCACCACCCAACGGGAGCAATGCACCCTCGATCGCTGGCCAAGCCTTGGCAGAAGCTGCCATGACTGGCCGGGCTCAGACAGCTGAAGGAGAGAAGGCCTTGGCCTCCTTGGACATACCAACTTTGGAATATGTGATGGCATCCGCCCTGCAGCATTTGCGTTGAGCCCACCGGTTTGTGGGAAATGTTGGAGAAAGGGCGCTGTGAAGCACTCACAAGGCTCATGAAGTCACGGCGAATCTCAACTGTTCCGATGGAAGGACAGGCAATGCAAACAAAGACAATTTTGTTATATGTGACCTTAGGTTGTCAAGAAGCTTGGCCACACCAGTTCTCGTGTGCGACAGACACTCAGGTAGTTTAATCAGACTTGAACGACAATATGCCCAACAGACATTTTCTTTTGGAACATTGTAAAGGTCACTCTCAAACGACGACCAATTCGATACAGCATGTCAGTCTTTGCCGAAGCTACCAAAATGCTTGTAGGCTATATTTATATTAGATCAGCACCTTGTGCAGACACCTCAAGCACCAAGGCATGGCTGCTGTGGCCATCCTTTCCCACATCACCAGATGTTTACCAGCTGGAGGGCCAAGGGTTTCTGCAAGATGAGCGTGTGAGCGTGCCGGGATTCTGAATCGTACACAGAAAGGAGTGAACTCATTGAGAATTCAACCATTCTAAATCACGAAAGGTAGCTTGAGCTACCTGAGTTCTCCTTGCTTTAGCAAAAATGTATTACAATCAGGAGTTGGGACTGCATTGAATTTGGTCCTGTAAGAGTTGATTCTGTTCGTCGGGGGCCCCCCCCTCCCTGGATCAAATCACCCCTGCGCCGGTTCACGCCGTCATGGACTTCTACCAGGGTTACTTGTGATTGCCTGCTACCTTTCGTTCACCCCCTCCTCTCTCAAGTTCTCAACATGCTCTTTTGGGCTGTGAATTATGTACAAGGAGTGCATTTTTTTGTGTTGCGTTTAGGGAAGTTCTGGAAGTTTTGTTGGATCTGCTTCTTGTTGCCTTACTTTCTGGTGTTTCATTGCTTCTCTATGATTCTCCTGCTTTTCTTGCCTATTTGTGATTGTTTTGCTTTTCCTGGCTTTCCCTTGCTTTTCATTGTTTCTTTGTGGTTGCTCCTACTTGCTACTGTACTGTTCTCGCCTTTCTTGCTTTTTGGTGCTTGTCTTGCTTTTCACTGCTTTTCCTTTGCTTTCATTGCTTCCCTGTGATTATCATGCTTTTCTGGCTTTTCCTGATTCTTTTGCGCTTGTCTTGCACTTCCTGGCTTTTCTCATGCATTTCTTTACTTTCCTGCTTCTTGTCCTTTTGTGGCGTATTGTTTCCCTGGTTTATATAATTGCTTTTGCCCGTTGCTTTTCAAGCCTTGAGTTTGTGCTGCTTTATTCTTGCTGTTCTGCTTCTGTATGTATTTTTCCTACTTTTGTTGTTTGTTTTCTGCTCTACAGATTCTACTGGTTGTTGTGTCTTGTTTCGCCCTATATAAGTACAACCCAAGTGCATCATATGAACATATATGAACAGAACTCTTTCATTCTTCACTTTACTCCCTTCTCGCCTATGATGCACTTGTCTCATGTATGTTCGTTAGCCCTGCGGCCGGAGTTTTTTTCCTTGTGGTCCAGTTGGTTAGCATTTCTTTGCGCACAGGCCCTAGGCGCCCTGAAATACTCATGGACATGGAAGATGCCCAGCTGGACGCTGGTATGTTTCTTCTACAAACAGCTACGTAGCTTTCCTTTCCACTTCCACTGGAGGAACTATAGAGAAACCACGACCGCCAAAGAATCTCCAAACGCGACGCATAAAGCACAAATAAGCCGCACCCGTATTAACATGGATTTCAGGTTGAGACGGGTCAGTTGAGAGAGCCAAGGAAACTGAATGTCCGAGGACATCTTGCTACGCGCCACCGAGGGGCTCCTGGAACGTATTGCGCCCAGCCTCGCAGTTCGACGCAGGACGGATGCGTGTGAAATTGGAGAAAGCAATTCAGTCCAACTCCTATTAATAGCGATGGCCTCCAACCTAGTAGGGATGGCCTCCAACCCATTAGAGATGGCCTCCAACCTAGAAGCGATTGGAGAAGAAGCCGAGTGCTATACAGTCACCATACAGCTGAGGGCTTCTGGACCCAGTGGCCGATGTGCGGGCTGCTGCACAGAGCTGAGCTTGGGATAGCACCAAGTGGCTGTGGCGGGCAAAGCCGCAAGGCTTTTTTCCAGTTTCAGGTGGCAATGTCGGATTAATCGATATTAATCGTAGAAGTTAAGTTGATTGAGGTGTCTGCAGGGATTTGTTTCGGATAGATTTTGGCTCGACCCGAAGAGCAAAGCCATTCAATCATCCCAGGCCGGGGTGCTCAACTTGGAGGGTGAGGGGCATTGTGAGTCTAATCCTGTATATAGTTTAAAAAACTTACCATCCTAGGTAGATGCCGATTTCAGCACATCTGTGCTGCAGTCCAATTGCGCACCGGCGATCCCAAATTGAACAAGTTGAAGTTGAAGCTACCTAATTGGTGAAGCTGCACGGTAGCATGGAATGGACGCTAACAATTCTCTGCTCTCTTCAGGAGCCATGGCGGCCGACAGCAAAGAGGTGCGCTTGGGTCGATTATTGAAAAAAGGGAATGCTGTGCCTGTCCAGTCGCATGGTTCCGTCGAATGGGCTAGATTCATCAGTGCAAGATGTCCCAAGGCTGACACTAGTCTCAGATGTCTCAGTTTCTTCCAAGTCCAACTTTGCGGCTGGATTCTGAAATAAGAATTTCCAGCTGCTGTACGCTGTACAGTACACGCAGCAATCTCCTCCCCAGCGCTTTCCCAGGCACCCCACATGGGCATGGAGGCACGTTTGCCTCGAACCCCCGCTGGCCAGACAAAGTCCAAGAACTCGCAGATATGGAAGGCGAGCTGTTCGCTGTGAGAGTTTGGAGCGCCATGCCTCGCACAAGGAAGGAAGACATGTCTTCGATTGGACCATTCTGAAGATGTTTCGGGGCCAGTTTTCATGCTTGCAGTTGGTGCTCCGTTCTGTTGCAGGGCTTTTTTCAGGGATCTGTGGGTGCTGCCATCGGGGGCGCCTGTGCACATCCCTTGGACCTCATCAAGGTGGGGAAGCTCGGACGGTGTTGTGACGCCAAAGAAGGCTTGATCGCATGAGAGGGCAGCAGCAAAGACGGCAAGCTCCTGATTAACATGACACTAGCAGCAAAGACAGCCAATTCAGATGACAAGGCAGTGATTAAGATGGTTTGCTGATCTAGACCCCGTCCACTGCCGGTTGGGGAAAAATGCCCATGGCCGCAGCCCGCTGCATCCGTAGTCCCACCACACTCCAGTCGCAGGGCTGCCGCAAGTCTTTCGCCCACATCCTGATTAGCGATATTAGTGCTCCCTATGGCTAGTCTTGTTTGAATTGGTGTCTAGCCCCCGGAATTGTCATGCTGCGCTCACCTGCAAGTATAGCAATCCTGGCTTTGCATGGCTTCAAAAAAGTGGAAAGACGTACTTGTACTTTCCAAAAAAGGTAGAAGACAGGCGACGGATGAACCGGACAGCAAGCAAATGGCGATTGGTCGATTAGGTCTTTGAATCCTCCTTTGAATTAGGAACTTCGGTAGGTATTTGAAAGACGCCCCCGCCTGTGCCCAGAACAGTTGCCACGGTTCAGTCCCTGGCTGCGACTCCTGTCGATGTGTGACCAGGTAACTGCAAATCCTTTCAGGAACTTGAAGTGCAAGAGAGCGGTATGAGAGAGAAAGCAGAGGACACCGTGAAGGTAACAAGGGCAGTCTGACTTTCTTCCAAGGCGATGATGCACGGTGAAACAACAATACAAATATATACAAAAACATCAAAAACAGGCATATTATTCACATACTGTAGATAGAAGCATCCACACACACACATAATTGGCTACGTATATAATATATATATAATAGTATAAATACATATACAGACAGGTAGTACACATTTAAAGGAGTTTTGTAAACGTTAACAGTACTTAGTGGCACCTTAAGGATGGAGGATGTTTAGCTCTTTTCATGGTGCTTGCCTGACCTTTTGTTGTGGTTCTTGCTTGTTTTGCTGGGGTTCCCGCGCACCGTGTCATGGTTACAATCCCTCCTCTTTTGAAGCTGTGGGAATCTGACCTTGGTGGACTGATTGCACAATTTACTGTAGAAAGAGGTGCTGGAGCACCACAAATTGGCTCGATTGCTGTACAGTAGATCCAGGGTTTCAGCTTCAGACCCGTATGAGCACCCACTTTTATTTAGGCTTTTACTAAAGTAGTCTACGGCATGCTCTATTTGCTTGTCTATCACCAGTATTCGCTTGTGAACGAGATAGGGCCCCCACATAAACGCGATAGTTTTGCTTCTTGACACCAAGTAGTTTAAAGTAATCTGAACGAGATACTGTGACATGACCTTCTACTTAAGTAGTCTAAACGAGATAGAGCCCACCCATAATAGATAGTCTTAGTGTAATTGAGTTTAGTACTGTACCAAATAAATGCGCCGCACATATACTCAATTTGTGACTCCGGGCCGCTTTGTGGAGGTCAGAATGCAGCTTCAGGCTGAAGGGACCAAACTCAATATGCTCCAGCAGCTCGGACTCAAAGTTCAAAGGGCCAATATAGGACGTTCAGCTGAGAAGCCCAACCATTGCTTGCTTGGCTTGCTTCCCTTTGTACTTAGGAGAGCCCGTGGCTATGTCAGCAACAAAGTCCACCATCAGGGTTTGACCAACATTGACATGGGAGTGTTCAATGACCTAAGGCCTAAGGTGCTGGTTGAGGACAGCAAAATGGGCTGTTCTGCCTGTTCCGCTACTCATGTGCTCACCTATTTTGACAGGGTTTCAGATGCTCCCGATTGCTTCCACACCTCTGGATCCACATTCCGGTTGGTTGGGCTCCAAGAAAGGCACCGAAACGGACTCCCCATGGCCCATCATGGTCCACCATGGTCATGGTCCATGATGGCCCCATGGTTGTACGAGCGGCCTCCTGAGGATGGGCCCTCACATTGTACGCAACGAGGGCCCGTTGGGCCTCTTCAAGGGTGTCGATGCTTCAATGGCACGGCAGCTGGTCTACAGCGGCGCAACTGGGCGGCAGAGATTTCTCGATCTTCTCGATTTTTTTGAAGCATTCGCCTTATTTTGCTATATCATGAATGCGTTGCCAATTTTCCCTTATTTTCTTAACTTTCAGTGATGTTTTACTTGATGTAAGGTGCGCTTTGGGATGTATGACATGCTCAAGGTCGGTCTTGCTCACTTGGCGAAAGATTGCTGCTTTGTGCTTCGTTCATTCAATGGCTCCTGAATGGTGCAATGCTGGACAGGGATTTTGTGGAGAGTCCGAGAGGCCACTGACTACGGTGGAAAAGGCGCGAATGCAATTGACACACTGACACTCTCCAACCTTCCCAGCTCTAACTCTAACTAGTCATTTGGCGCAAGGTGAAGAACATTTTTGGCAATTGAAGTCGGAAATTGTATCCTTTTGTGGGTGAGTCGAGCAGCTTCAATGACAACATCATGGCCAGAGGTGGTTTGCGCAGCCGTGGCGGGGGCCACTGGTGCCTTTGCTGGCAATCCTGGTGACCTGGCAATGGTCCGCATGCAGGCAGGGGTGCTCCCGATCGATGTGAAAAGAGCTGCCTCAAGGAGTAGATGGACATTTCAAAGGATCCCCTCTTCACAACCGGCAGCACCATTGCATGACCTGTGAGCAAGGAAAGGCGCAGTAGTAGGCTTAGTTTGTTGCTTGAGGGAAAAGGCTGGCAAACCACAATTCCACTCGGACCCAGACCATGTCTGTGACACATGTTATAAAGAGATGCCGCAATTTGCACCTACAATGCCAATATTTTTGACACTTCCGCCTCCCACACGACATTGCGTGTGTTTCAAATCTCCCCAACACCTGCTCTATGGGCGAAGGGTTAAGTGGAGGGGTTCGGACACGATGAGCAAGTATTGTTGATCATGTGGTGGAGGCCGACGGCAAGCTCCCACCCGAGCAGCGTGAGTGCCTGAGACCATTGGTGTGACAAAGAAAACATCTCCATTGGGCTATTGGATTTGCTTGGTATTTTGGGGGTCTGTGAAGGTCGCGGGTACAAAAACATTTTCGATGCAGTGCCGGGCTGAGCTTCTGCGGTGGAGTGCATTCTCCTGCAATCTCCTGAACTTTGCCCCCTGAGGTCAGCAAGATTGCTAGCCAAGAAGGCGTGCTATCTATGTGGCGAACCGGAGTTATTCCCAACATGAACCGAGCGCTTTGGCTTGAAAGCTTGATAAGGCCATGCATGTGGCCCAGTCACTGGGAACAAAAAATATACGGTATATATATATAGATTTATAAAGACTATGAAGACTAAAGCAAGATATATATATCTTATCTATACCATTGACCAACTCATCTATACCATTGACCTCTTTTTAAAGCCCAAGTGGCCTGCCTCCTAAATTAATTAACTCGGCACCTACTTAATTAAGTAATCATGCTACGCAATAGGAAGCTCCTAGGAACAGGATGCATGATAGCTCACGCTCGCACTAGTGATTTGGTCCTAGATTTCTTGTTACTACTAGTAAGGCACTTGTTACTAGAAGCGATGCCCTTTGCTCCTAGTAGCTTCTTGTCACTGCTCAACTTCGGTAGTTCTGGTGAATCAGGGTTTGGCATTTATGGTCCCACAGGCAACGCGCCTAGGCGACCATCATCACCGTGGGCCAGCTAGCTGCCTATGACACGTGCAAGGAGCTCTTCGTAGACGCTTGGCACTTTCAGCTTGGATTGATGCTGGCTGGATAAACCAGTCTCGGGAATGCAGAGGAAGGAGGGTCGCTGTCCAGCGGCACGAAAGCCCCATAAGCCATAAGTAAAGTCCTGGATACGAGCAACGATGGCAAAGGGTCTCACAATTTCACCAAGATGGCCGGCACCATCTGACTTCACCAGGCCCGGTGGAGTGCACTCGCCTTCTCCTGACTGCTTGTTTTGAGTCATCAATATCCAGTGAACAAAACAACTTGAGCACTGAGGACTACCTGCACATGAAGGAGGGTGCCAGAAGCCCAGGACGATGCAGAAAATTTCAGATCGTCAAGGGCACCAGTTCATAAGCGGATCCTTGATGTGAGGACCCTTTATAAAGTCGGATTCTTTTCTGGTCAGTCTTGTCTGGTCAGTTTATATAATTTAGGGTCAGGTTGTTTCTTGGCCAGGCACCGCTATTTTTGGGCCTGTGAACCGGTTGGGGAATTGTCTGAAGAGCAGTGCCAGGAAAGCAGTGTATATTGCAAAGCGCGTTTAGCTTACAGATGCACACACATATCAAAACGATTGATTGAATCCACTCCGAGCTTCTCTTTGACTGAAAGGTGCCCTTGCACCTCTCCTCCAGCTTTGGCGCGGCCTTCATCGCATCTGTGCACAGCCCAGCAGTGAGATGGCCATGCTTCGTGTTGACCCACTCATCATGTTATCTTTTCTCCCCCTTTCTCTCTGAAGGTGGTGACAAACCCGTGCATCACCTGAGATGAATAACGTAGCGAGGGATCCCAAAGTACAGTATCGTAGAGGGACGTCTCACACATCTGCACGGTAGTGACTAGATCAGTCATGTGGCAATCCATCAATCAACAAGTCTCAATCCAAGCCTTCGGAAGATGCTTCGGGCCTTCCAGATGAGGTGATGTCGAACCCAGTTGATGTGGCAAAGA